AAACCTTTAATTCCATGCTTATGTATGACTTTTTCCTCTACAGAACCCCTGCCTCAGTTCAGCGCACAAGATGGATGGGTTTCTGGGGATGAATCTGGACTTTGTAGTGAAAGAAACTTGTCTGTAGGACCCCTGCCCTTTACTGCAGAATTTGGAAGGGATGGAATGAGTTAGATAGAGGACTGCAGGAAGATACAGGAGTCTCAAGGTTTAGGCAGTTGAATACCATCCTTGAGAATTGAATTCTACTTCTGTGCTGCCACAGAGTTCCTGTGTGAAGGCACTTAAGCCAGCATTTTCATAAGTGACCTCGAATTGGACATTCCAGACAGTGGGGAGGAACACAATGTGAGACACCCAGTGTCAGATCTGCAGAAGTGCTTAGTGCTCACAACTGCAACTGAAGCTGACTGAAGCTTTGCTCAAACATATGAAGTGCTATAAAAAGGCTAAGAAATTCAGGCTCTTGAGTTGGGCACCCAAAATTAGGAAACAATTTTGGCCTTCCTCTCTTCCTGCCTCCATTCTGAAGCTGTAAAAGGAGAATACCCCCCACCTCATTTCTGAGGGATGTTATAAAGATAAAGTAATCGTGAAGCACAAAGACACTATGGTGAGAACACCACAGAAACAAATGCCTAGGAGGAATTAATAATTATGTATGCAGTGCAGGTTTTGGCCTGGAGCTACACATTGCATGAAGATACAAACAAAAATTGAGTAACTACACACTCACTGAATGATGCAGGGGTCCTGTGGGAAAAAACCAAGCAGCAACCTTAACTGGAATTTCCTGACTTTTGACGCTTATCTTTGCAACCTTAGCATTCTTTTAACCTTTTTTTTTTAAATTTAATTTCCTAAATGCTTCTAATAAACAAACAACGACAAAAAAATCATTATGTGGAACCACACTGGCCCCAGCTTGGGTCGGCAGCAGGGCTCAGTCCTTTACATCCATACCACTTGAGCTCACGGAGTGACTGAGAGGATAACAGCCTACTCCTGCTACGTGGACCAGCTCAAGAAGAGGATGAGACACTTTGCCAGTGGGTTTGACAACTATGTGCAGACAGGAGAGGAATGTAGAGACTCACGATTCCTGGGTTCATTTTGAGGTTCTGGAAGGGAGTAGCTGTAATGGTCACTTATCCTTTTGTTCCTATGTCCCCCAGCTTCTGCCCTCCTCCCCCTGTGCTTCTATCCAACCCTACCTCCTTCACACACCACAGGCTCCTGCCTCCCTCCCACTCTGCTTCTATATACCTACCCACCCTTCTCCCTCTCTGGTACCTCCCAACCTCTGGTTCCAGCAACCCCCTGCTCTTATTCTTCCCATGCCTCCCCACCCCTCTGCACTTAAATCAGGTAGCTTCCTCACTGCCTGGGCAAAGGCAGGAGGAGCTCTGAAAGCACAAGAGAGTCTCCCTACTCAGCCTCTGCAGCCCCAAGATGGAGCAGGCTCAGTGCATACAATCTTCCAAGCATTTAGCAGTCACCATTAAGCATGCGCAAATGCACATTTTACAGAGGTTCATAACCAGGCAAATTTGGTGGAATCTTCCTGGGGAGGGCAAAAGGCAAATCCCTGACCCTATCGCAACCCCCTCTGATAAATTTCAAGTCTCTGGATCAATGCATGGCAGCACTAGAGCCCCCGCAACTCAGTGGGTGAAAGAATTTTTGTAAAAGGGGCAAAAACAACCTTTTTTCCTCAGAAATGGCTGAAACCACTGAAGCTGAAACCTTTCAAATATGTTACCTGAGACAGACACTCAGCCTGGGAGATTTCAGCCCCAACAGTTAAACTTTGGCAGTCATAAGCCAGTGAAAACAGGGTCTTCCATTGGGAAGTGTCACACAACCATAGCTATACAGGCAGCTCTTCCAGCTCTGCCTATAAGAAGAAAAAAAGGATTCTGTGCTTCTTTCATATTGCAACACAGTTTAGAAAAGCTTCTCAGAAGCAGACTTCGCAGAGATATGGCAGTTTTTCTAATGCATGCTTTTTATAGAAGGGCAGGTTTGAGACTTCAAATTGTTCCATTCACTCCAATGTTAAAATTAGCAATAACCACACCTCAAGAGGTGTGGCTTTGGTAGTCATCCAGAAGTTCAGACCCTTATCCAAACTTCCTTGGTCTGGAGGGCTCATCTCTGCGCACTTTAAGGCAGGCCAGTAATCCTAAAAGATATATCCAGTCTATTTTGGTGCTTCTGCTTTTGGCAAGAAGTAGGTAAGAGGTGTATGAAAAAGGGGAGGGAGGAAAGAAAAGAGAAGCAAACCTTTCAAGACTCACTGGGGTTTGGGTTTGCCTCAAGTTTGAGGCAAAGTTTCGTGCCCATTTTTATTTGGCCTGAACCAGCACACCCAACCCTTCGTTTCCAAAAGTAACATGGAAATGTGGAGAGGGTTACCAACTTTTTCAGGGATAAATGTAATCCCATGACTGGCTACTTAAAAGGCAAAAATGTTGTTTATGGTAAGATACAAAGTTAATGATACTGTGTATCTAGGCACAAAACCAACATTAGAGAAGAAGATGAGAAAACAGATCTCAGGATGGCTCTGTTTCAAGCGCACAAAACAGAAAGCGTTGTAGAGATAAGTCGTCATAATGTGTTTTTTAGTGTCCCAAAACACAGGTAGCCACATCTTAGAAATCTCTGTAAGCAGCCTGAATAGGCATTGAGAAGGAGCCACCAATGGACTGTCCGAGGTGGGTCCTTCCAGGTGAGAGTTCAGATACTCATGTGGAGCAACGTGGGGAAGCTTGCACTGCTGTGGCTCATACTGTAGCAGTTTGTATACGAACAGTCTCATTCTCCCAGGCAGTCAGCTAACTTTCACAAGCACTGAATTCATAGACATTTTTGAAGATTTAAAAACCAATATTTTGTTTTAACCAATATTTTGCACTTCTATAGCACCTGCTATCTATGGATCTCAAAGTACTTTATGAAGATGAATGGATCAAATGCTACATGAGGTAGTTAAATGTTATCCTTACTTTTACAGAAAGGCAAACTGAAGTACAGAAGGGTTTAAGTGACTTACTCTAAAATCACACAGGAAGCCTATGTCAGAGGCAGGAATTAGACTCCAGATCTTTCAACTTCTGTTCCTGTGCTACAACATCAAGCCCATCTTTCCTCAGCTTCAGATGCATTTCCTTCTTTTGACATATTTGAACTTCACAAGCCAGTTTTGTATGTCTAAAAATACCACCATATTAATCAGTAGTGAGAGCAAGAGAGATTCAGCCACTACCAGGCTCCCGTGACACCAAACCATGAAGCAACAACAGCTTCACTAATTGCAATAAAGACCCTATACACACAGGTAACATGTCCAACTCATTACAAAGGACACTTCTCCTTCAATCCGGAGTTGCTTCATTTTCTCAGTCTCCTCAAAGTACTGAGAAAGATTAGGCAACAGGTTGGCTATTTTCTTTCTATGTAATACAACTGGACTGTAAAACATCATGATTTAAAAAAAACAAAAACAAAACACATCAACCCACAAAGTACAATCATCCCTATTATATAATTATTTTAGCCAAAATAAGCTAGTAATGGTCCTGAACATTTGGAATAGCCACAAGATTGAATATGAAATGTAAATTCAAGATAGGAGTGGCAGAAGCTCCCTAAAAGTGGGGGGCCACCAGTCCCCAAACCATGCCCCCACCCTGTCCCTTCTTCACAAGGCCCTGCTCCACCTCTTCCTCTTTTACGACTGGTAAAAAGTGATGGGGGTATGACTCCCCTGTTACAGAGCTCCTAATTCAAGATGGATAACAACTCTGGAAAGTCAATCCTTCACTGTTTGGTACGGAGAATAACTTCTTAAACCATAATTTTTATCTAACCTACATTTGGGAGGTAGGGAACATGTACATGAGCTACAACCTACATCTGGTCATGGCTTTATGCAATTTAAGGAATTTTCTTGAAGTGAAAGTTAGAGCAAACTCCAGTGTGCCTACCAGTGACCCTGGCTTAATGAGGGCCCAACTCACCCGACTATTTTGATGGCTCAGTAACAGCTCAGGCTCTAATATATTTCACTCTAAATTAGCTGTGAGGTAAATATTTTTTAAACTAGAAGGCTCAGGACATCTTCATATTAGATCCACTGTAGGAGGCAGACAGGTAGCACACCAGGATGGGGTATCAACTATGGAGAAGGTGATGAGGTTTTTTTTGATGAAGGAGGAAAAGTCACCCAATCTTCACCTGTTTCCCCACAGCCAACCAATTATTTTCCCTCCATCAGCTGGCCTTTCCCAGTCCAATGTATATCTTTTTAATTTGAATATTAAACAAAGTTAAGCCTTTTCTCAGGTGGCTTTTATCACTGAACTCTTTTTCTAAGACAGTTCACTTTTTTTTTTCTCCTTTAAGAACATGAAAGTATTGGTCTCTTAACTGAGGCTCACCAGCTACAGAGCAGTTTTGACTACTGGGTGGATCTAATATTTGTTTCTGTCAGAGGGATTGGTCAGAAGCATAAGATATGGCAAAATATTTATTTTACATGTAGTCTGAAACTTTTGTCAGTAAGTGCTTAGCTTAGTATAATTTTTAGGGCAAAAATTCTAGTCTCTGGTCTACATTGCAAATCTCTACACTCATTCTGCTCTCCCTGCATGTGTAGAAATCCTGAGGGAATTCTAAAGTTTCATGAACACAAGAAGAGCAAAATATCAGTACAAATTAGCCAAGTGCTCGACAGAGCAGAACTCTAAAGTAATATATATACACCACATCCCCATCACACCCCGTTTCAGATTTCCTTTGCCTTTTGATGATTTCCCAATAATTATAGAAAATAGAGAGGCGATTACTAGTGAAAGTTTCCAGTGGCTTCTCTCTGTTTCCCAAGACCAAAAGTCTATAATTTGAAGTTCTGTAACAAAGAGAGCTTGAGGTTTTAAGATTTGTACTTTCTGAAACCGAAAGGCCTATTTGTATATAATGGCATTTGTTCTTACCAGCTGTTAGTATGGTTTTAGAACTCTGTATTAGACTGGAAGTTCTCACAATTCCTGAAATGCCTGTGTAAAGGGAAAGGATATAAACACACAGATGTTATCCATCTTAGTCTTAAAAAAAAGTTTAAAAAAATTGCAAGTTAAATATTTTTCCAGTTATACAGTAAAGCAGCCTGTAAGTAAAACTTATAATTATCTTAACAAAAACTTTCTATTTTGCTTTGTCATGCTCATTCAAGAATTTGTTCCAAATGCTCTTCTAACATTTTTTTTTTATACAACATGACATTGTTTATATGAAAAAAGAATACTGAAGACTTGGTAGTAATTAATAGAGTTTGATTCCATTAATTCAATCTTCCCCATTATATTTCTGCACCCAGTTGCCCAGTCATGGGTGGTTCAAATCAATCACGTTTCCTCAGCATGCACAGTTTCAGCAGGGCTTTGTCATTTCATATTTCCCTGCCTGGGCTTGTTAAAGAATTGAACAAACTATTTCAATATGAAATTGTGTTTTCACATTCTGTTTTACACCCTTTTCCCCCTGTCCCGCGTCAGTCTTATCTATTTAGATTATAAACTCTTTGGGGAAAGGCCTGTCTACTTCTCTCTGTTGACACAGTGCCAAGCACAATGGATCTTCATTCTTGGCTAGTCCTTAGACACCGCTGTAAAAAATACAATTAAGAATAATAGTGGCTGTAAAAATACTTTCAAAATTGTTTAGTCTATTTTAAAACAGCATTTAAGTTGTATTATGCAAGTATATTGTCTAAATTTTAACGCACACTTATTTGCGTGAACTTTTGTGTGCAACACAGCCTTTGTACACTATCACACACTGAAGAATAGAAGAGTATTGGTCTCAATTATAATGTTTCCATCTTCATGTGCATTACTTTGCTGCATTACAAAGTAAGAAGGAGATTTTTCAGAAACAGTTTTTATTAAAACTGTATAATTAAAGTTTATTCTCCTTGACTGGAGAAATATGTGGGGAAATACCTGCACATAAAGAAGAAAAATGATCACTGCTCTGACAGACTCACTATGGGGTCCTGGACAAATCACAACTGTGCTTTTTTCATTATTTTCTATGTCACAGTGTTGCAGCAAGGATTAGCTAGAGCTTGTCAAGTACTCTGAAGATATAAAGAACTGCACAAATGCTAAATATTTTCATTTATCTACAGATCAAGAACAGCATTGGCGGCAGCAGCACAAGCGTCTATACATTAACCTGCTAACATGACTCAACAGTTTTTTTTGCCCAAAGTTTGATGTCTCTTCCAAGACATCCCACCCTTGTGCTAGTTATAATGTGAGGATTTTGCAGTTTGTTGGAGTTATTCTTCCAAATTCAAATGAACTGAGTAGCACAATACACATTTGCATACCACTGAAGCTCAATATTTGATTGAAACTATGCCTTTGTTCTGACAGGCAAGACAGACCTGTCAGGCAACCAGAAAATTAAATGTTCTAATTAAATCCAGTTCTTGTTTAAAATGATTTCTTTTAGGATTTGAAACAGGAACTTTATATTTTTCCATGTTAATTTGGACAAGTGAAAGTTGATATACAAACATGAAGATTTTTGAGAACGTTTGCATCTATTGTATCCTAAAATTAAGCATTTGGGTACAATGCAACATCTCCGAATTATAATTTCTCTCTTCTGCCTCTACCCCTCTAAATTGATGGGCTGAATTCTCTTAAACTGCTTCCGTGTAGAACACTAATTCTTAAATATATCACTTCCAATCAGAGACTGCCTCCCATGCACCTACAGACCTACCCTGATGTACCACTAATCCACAGTCAGGGTCATGGGCCACTTTCAGTAAAACCTCTTCCACATCTCTGTTCTTCCCAGGAGGGTCCACAAAAGAAGTTATCTTTTGTTGAAGAGTCCTCGGCAAAGCCATTAACTGCATGAATTGACCTTCTGGACTTTTATCGATCTGAACATTACAAACACAAAAAACAAGGAAAATTGTGAACTCAATCACACGTAGTAAAGATGGTTAACACAAAATCCACGTTTCCAAAGTGAGCACAGAAGGGTTTTGGCTATCTTTGATCCCTGCTAAAGCTATATTGATCATAAAGCTACAAAGTTGCATATATATGCAGAAAGATAATGCAGTCTATTACATGTGCACACACACAGAGCCATGGGCAACAGAAGTGAGAGCTCCCACTGCTTTTCCAGAGCATAATCTCAACCATGACCTTGAAAGGCAACCTAAGTGCAAGATTCAATTTTTAGGTAGCCATCCAATTTGCACATGCTATCTTGCTGATGGTGCAAGCAAGTCAGGAACACAATTGCTTATATGCATTTTTAATTTACTCAAATTACTCTTAAATAAAATAAATGCAGAAAACAAGGAAAACAAATATAATCTCAAAGACCATGGAACTGTGTTGAATATTCCATGTGCTGAATATGTTCCAAGTGCTGAATAAGTTCAAGCATTGAGCAAAATTATTAACGTCATATATAGGGATTCGCACTATTTTACGATTAGTTTTCATCAAAACTGTTTGAGAAATCTCTCTCTCATCTGCATTAAACTTTGCATCATGTCAGGTTTATGTAATTTGCAGGAAATGTTTTGGTCAACACCCTTTGCTCCACATTTTTAATTTTTTTACTTTCTGAACTTACTACAAAGTCTTTTTTTTAAAAAAACCTCTCATCCAAATAAGAGATTCCATTCTTCAAAGCAACAGTTCACTTAAAATATTTATTCTATTGCAAAGTTCCTCCATGCATTGAATTAAGAGGAGGTAACTGTTATTGGGCTGCAACTTATGGTTTTGATCACTATATTTCAACAATCTTTAGAATGTACACAAGAACGTGCACAGTAGGGCTGAGTGAACAGATTGGACAGGACAACACACTCCAGTGTTGTGATGCAAGTCCACAGTCACCTGCAACATGGGATGAGGGGTAATTCAAAAGGGCCGGCATTTTCATCTGGTACTTTCTGCTCTGATGATGCACTTTCAAACCAAAGTGTTATTCTTGGTCATCCACTTCCTCCACGACATTCTCGGGCTACCTGAATTCCAGGGATGGACTTCTGAAGTAGGGGCTATGGTGGGATGATGCCAGGACTCAGTTTGCGTTTGGTTCATTGAATTGTGTGGCTAGAACTCAAACTTCTTTGGGTTCACTGAAACCTAGGCTAATTTGGTTGCAGATAGTAATACTTAGAATTGGACAATAAATCACTTACTTGTTGCAAACCACCTGTTTTTGGCCATCATACTCCATAATCTGCTTCTTCTGAATGGCAGTCATCAAGCCACCTGTTTTAAACCAGCCTCCTCCCCCTTGCCAAGACTCCCTCATTCAGCAGCCACACCCAATGAGAGGTTGAATGGCAGTTTACTGTGCACGAGAGCTAAACCTCATTCTTATAGATTGGTATTTGTGCCAAGTTTGCTAATTGCTGGAAGTAGTTGAGTAACAGAAGCATAATAAATGTAAACGAGAAAAACTAGAGAAATTCACACTGGTGCATTGTGCGATTCTTGCTCTCTGTCTAAGTAATAAAGCAATTCCACTTGTGGGTTTAAAACATACAATGTAAACCATTTACCTCTAGCCTGCCCAGCTGGTGCTTATACACCACTTGAGAGCACTCCTGTAATATGTTACTGTAGAGCTTCTGAAAATGGGGCACATTTTCTTTCACTATGTTTAGCACCTTTGATCTGTCTTCTCCAATTATCATTCTGAAATCACCTAAACCAAGGAAACAAAAATAGTTAACTGACAAAAAATCAGAAACAGAGAACACGAAGCCATGGAACACACAGGGGATTATCATAGCATAGAATTAGACACCAATCATCTGAAGCTGTTTATGCTCTGATTATTCCAAAACCACATGCACTCCTCAATGAGGACTGTCTTCTAATAATGAAGTACTTTTCATACACCTGCCAGCTCAAGGAGAATATCCTAGAGATTGTATCTGGTTCACACCATACTGTGCTTCCACTAGCCCACTGTGCTGATATTTTTACTGAATTAAAAAAAAAACAAAAACCACACAACACCATTAAGTCAATCCCATCTCTCTAAAATGGTTGAAAAGCCCAAATCCTTAACAAATGAAGTTCTTAGCACTCACATCACAATTTTAACAGACAGCCAAGTGTAAAGTTATACTGAGTAGTGCTGGTGCTTTAGATCCTAAAATAAGCACTTTAGAAATACCATAGGAAGAGATCAAATGCTTTGCACAGAAGTCAGTGGCAAGTGCATGCATGTATCTGAGGGCTGAATTTAGACCATAGTCAGCAGCGTTAGATCACATGACTAGGGTCACATTTCTCTAGGAATGAAATGCTTTGTAACGTATCTTAACACAACACAGGACTGAATATCTGTATTTTAGTATCTGTAATTTACACTTTTACTCATTTCCATCACCCCCCCCCCCAATTTCCTTTTTCAATACATACTGGATAGTCAGTCCACGTAGTTCCTAATCCAATCAGTGGGTTTCAATGCATAGCAGACCCACTTGGCTAGCTCTGCAGCTCCTTCCCCCGCTTGCTGATGCTTCTAATCATCACATCTGTCCTGTCTCTTGTCCTCCCCCTCCTCCATTTATAGGAGGATAAAATTTTCTCCTGCTATATCCCTGAGGTGCAAAGTTCTGGGCTTCTCTCTTGGAAGGCCCTGCTGCGCCACATGCCCTCTGGCCGCGTGCACCCTCTGACCCTCACACCCCACCCCTCTTGCTCCCACTCCCAACCCTGCACACTGCTTCATCTTTCAGCTACCATTTTTCTCTTCTATCCTCCTCTCAGAAATGAAGACACTAGTAAGTATATCTTAGACATGGTAATTTTTCTTCCCTTAGGCAACATTTTATGCCTTTGTGATCATAACCAGTAATATATATGCTCACCCGCTCTGATCAAACATTTGCCCTGCCCCCTAACCCCACTGCTCTTTTTCACTGGTAAGATTCTTCTGCTAAGCACTACACACCACTTCTTAGTTTTTCCTACTGCAAGACTGACATTACTTGTAATCTGGAAGTGCCTAGAGCAGTGGCTCTCAACCTTTCCGGACTACTTTTCTGTACCCTTTCAGGAGTCTGATTTACCTTGTGCATCTCCAAGTTTCACCTCACTTAAAAACTACTTGCTTATAAAATCAGACATAAAAATACAAAAAAAGTGTCACATCACACCATTACTGAATAATTGCTTTCTTTCTTATTTTTACTATATAATAGAATATAAATATTATACTTAAATTTCAGTGTATAGTATAATAAGCAGCATAAACAAGTCATTGTCTGTATGAAGTTTTAGTTTGTAATGACTTTGCTAGTGCTTTTTATGTAGCCTGTTGTAAAATTAGGCAGATATCTAGATGAGTTCATGTACCCCCTGGAAGACCTCTGTGTACCCTCAGGGGTACACGTAACCTGGTTAAGAACCTCTGGCCTAGAGGGTCCAAACGGAAACAGCCTCATCATGCTAGATACTGCACTCAGTCTCCAAAACAACCATCCAGGAGACAGAGCTCACTCTAATTTGAATTACTGCACAGCTAATAGTATTATGTGAACAGCAACAAAATCTTGAATCAATTTTTGTTTCCCCACACTCAAGAGCTGAATATCTCAAGGCAGCAATTTAGTTTTATTATTTCGTTTAATGGATACTATGCACTCCTTAGCCTGTTCTCCCACAGCCTCCAAAGAAATAGTCCAAACAAACAGCTCTAGCTGAGAGCAAAACAAAGCTCCATCATGCCAAGCACAGCAAAACTTATAATCACTGTCTGCCCAAGATGCAGTGTGTCTCAGTGGTTTAAAAAGTAACTCCATAAAGCTCATGAACAACTTTATTAGGTAAAGAAATACAAAGAATCAGTGTCAAATGTACCATGTAAGATACTGGTTGTCTCAAAGGGATTGAGCAGGCAATATATAAAACAAGTTTCATCTACTGGGATTGTGAAAATAGTCAAGATTTAATACAACAGCAACAAAGCAAATAATAGAATACCAGGGTTGGAAGGGACCTCAGGAGGTCATCTAGTCCAACCCCCTACTCAAAGCAGGACCAATCCCCAATTTTTGCCCCAGATCCCAAATGGCCCCCTCAAGGATTGAACTCACAACCCTAGGTTTAGCAGGCCAATGCTCAAACCACTGAGCTATCCCTCCCCACCTCATCAACATTCACCTAATTTCTCAAACATCCCAAAATTGAAATTTTACCACTTCAATTTTATTCAGGCAGTAAAGCCAATTCCAACATTTTTTAGCCAAATAAATGATCTCCTACTTTTGTATTAACTGTATCATTACTTACAATAGTCAAGAATTATCCTGACCGCCTGTGGTCATTGCAAATCCCACAGCACTTTTCAGAGAAGACTCAATCAGATTCCAACTGGGGTGACTATGTAACCCACTAGTAAGTGTGCCTAGCTAAAACACCCTTTACCACTTCACTTAGATACAGTATCCTTTTTTCACTTCGTGATGGTTCAGTGCGTAATACTTTTCACCCCAGAGGGTGCTGCATTTCAGTGGTGGGTGAAGTGATTCATATATAACTTGTGGAGTGCTTTGAAGTCTTTTAAATGAAAACTTCTCTTATGAATAAACTCTTTTCTAATATTTTGGAAGAATGGTATAGAGGATTGCAAGAGGGAATATAAAATTACATGAGGATGGATTGTTTTAAAAACCGATAACTGCAAACTTGAATAGGATCTCCATAATTAAAATGGCAACTACATCTTTAGAAAAAGCTGTTGATAAAAAATAAGATGCTGAAGAATTTGATCACAAAACATAATATTTGATGAACAATAAATCTCTTTAGCATCTGTCAGAATACTGACTAGATAGACCTTACACAGCGGAGAAGGACACCACGTGTATTTTCAGGCCTTTGAAATATTAAAATCTAAAGTTTGCTGAGGTATCACATAGTAACATAAGAACAAGCTCATCCCCTTATTATCTTCAGGCACAAACTAAATTCTCAAGTGTGTTTTCAAGGTCTCCTGAAACACAGCAACTATCACTCAGCCTTACCTGAAGGGCATCTCAATATCTCCTTTGGAACCAAACTCTCATGAAGTTACTGGAGCATGAAATATTGTAGGCACAATGCAGTATGGTGGAACCTTGTTCCAGTTGAAATTGATAGAAAAACTCACACTGCATTAAAATGCAGGATCAGACCTTACACATCCTTCCTTAGCTCAACAAATGTATGAATAGTCACAGACTCACTGAGCCACTTCTATACTAGAGCTAACCATATATTAGACTTCCTATTATTTGTGGTATTATTTATGCAGTATTACAGCTCGAACTACAAAGTATGACATCTTACCAAACAAAGACTTTTTTCTCAAGAGAAACTTTAAATACATATACTAACCAGAGTAGGAGAGTCCTGCAATCTGCATATAGAGGTCTTCTTCAGAGAAACTTTCTGGCAACATGAGAAAGGCTGCTGTGACTGCACTCTTTAGATTGCTAAGTAGGGCAGCCTGCAGCTTGCCATTTTCATTCTGTGTCAGTATTTTCACCTGAAAAAAATCAAAATATTTGGGAGCAAGATTTCATCAGGAAAATACCATTGAAGATAGACCAATAATTATTACTCAATCCAGTGTGTAAAAATAAACTACATTTATTTAAAACCATTCACATCATTATGATGTAATTAATTAACCCTAGAGCAGGGGTGGGCAAACTTTTTGGCCCAAGGGCCACAACGGGGTTGCAAAACGGTATTGAGGGCTGGGTAGGGAAGGCTGTGCCCCCGCAAACAGCCTGGCCCCCGTCTGACCCCTCGCACTTCCCACCCCCAGTGCCCCACTCAGAACCCCCGGACCCATCCAATCCCCCCATCCCCTGACCACCCGCTCCCTGGACCCCCGTCCCTAACTGCCCCCCAGGACCGCACCCCCTATCCAACCCCCCCAGCCCTGTCTCCAGACTGCCTCCCCACTGAACCTCTGCCCCATCCAACCACCCCGTCTGCCCCCTGGGACCTCCTGCCCCTTACCCAACCCCTCCCTCCCCCTGCCCCCTTACCTTGCCACTCAGAGCGGCAGGACAGGCTTATTTGAAAGCCTGGGAGGTAGGCGGGCACAAGTCGTGCTGCCCACACAGGGGTATAGCTGCAGGAGAGGGGAGACAGCGAGGGAGTGAGGGGGGCAGTGGAGACTAGCCTACTCGGCCGGGAGCTCAGGGCCCAGGCAGGATTGTCCGGTAAGCTGGACGTGGCCCGCAGGCCCTAGTTTGCCCACCTCTGACCTAGAGTGTGTCCATTTTCTATGTAAACGTTCCCTTTGCAGTACTAATACCATATAGTCACAAGACAGCAATGAGTGAAAGCTATTCGCTCTTCTCTTGTATCTACAGAGCTCTTTGCCTTCCCCTCTTTTAGAATCCTGGGATTAATCAAAATAACAATTCTGAGTGAGTGTTAAAAAGACACATCTGGTGAGGAAACAAGAAGTGACAGAAAACCTACTACACTAGTGTGAGAGAGAAGGAAGGAGTGACTAACGTGATAAGAGTGGAGCTCTCTCCCTGGTAACCAGGAAACTCATTCTCCCTTTATCCTTAACAGGCACCCTTGTGGTTTCTTTGGTCATCTACCATATGACAGGTTAGGAAATCCATGAAGTAGACCCTTACACAAATTAGTTCTCCTCTTAGGGCTGGTCTTCACTACTGGGGTAAGTTGACCAAAGTTACGCTACTCCAGCTACGGGAATAACTTCGGTCGACTTACCCTGGTGTCTTCACTGCGCTGAGTCGACAGGAGACGCTCTCCAATCGACTTCCCTTACTCTTCTTAGAGAGCTGGAGTACCAGGGGAGACCAGAGAGCGCTCTGCCATCGATTTAGCGGGTCTTCACTAGATAGTGATCATCAGATAGAGATTAATGGAGAGTCACACATGCAAGCAGAGTGGAACACAGAAGTCGAGTACGTCTATACGCCTCTGAGAGAAGTTTGCTCTTCCAAGGCAAAGCAGTGTTATTTCAACTGATTTGACTTAACTGTAGACCCTAACACCCTGAATAGAAAATGCATGTATTGGGACATAGGAGGCTGGTTGTTACCAGGATAAAACAAATCTTAATACAGAACCTTATGTCGACAAAGCTACTTTGGGCTACAGGAGAATAAACTTTCTTACTGTGGTTTCTAAATGCTCCTGTTGTTTCTGTTAGGCAATGCTGAATTGCTTTGCTTATAAGAAACAGATTTTCTAACAAGTGTGAGTGCTCCTGCAAAGCTACATGCATATTTGCAAGGGGTGACTATGGGTACAAGTCCCACTGAAAGTTAATGGGCTTGTGTGCCCAAGTTACTTAGGCGCTTTTGTAAATCACACCTTGTGTCCACAAAAACCTGTCATTGGAGTGTACAATTTAGCAGCTAAGCATCTGTGTGATTATTTGCCATAACTCTGGTTTGTTTAAAGAAAAGTGGAGTTAGGAGGTGTGACTGGTGCATTGTGCATTTTTGCAAACACAGGCATTGTGCTATCCTTTGAACATCTTGCCCCAAATACGGTACAAAGAAATCCAAGGCCTCCTCCACCTTAATCACCTGTTTCTAATGGAACTTCCATATGATTTAAGAATGGAAAAGAAAGAATGAAAAAACAGCCAAAATCAGATTCTGTAAATGAAACTAACAAAGGAATCATCTAGTTAAAATATTTAATGCCTTATGTAGTTAGGATGTGGACAAAGAAAGGCCTGACAAACAGATTACGGCTAAAACTCCACTTTAAAACAGGGCTGAAATCAGAACGAAGTCCCAATACTCTATGGCAAATGTGACAACATATGCTTTTTTTTTTTTAATTTTCCCCTGCATTTGAAGTTTGATGTAAAATCTAGACAATTGTTTTGAGAGTAAACTGGTTCACAGACGTTTAAGACAAATGTTTTTTATTTACCGTGCTTAATACTTTAGAGATATTGGCTTTACAAGCAAATATTTTAGGGTATTATTCTTCTCCCACAAACTACTGTATTTTTTCCTAGCATTAAAATTGATCTGAGAAGACAATGATGAAGTGTTAGACTACACTGGAAGAGTTACTGGTGAGCCTAAAATGAAGCTGAAAACATTTAAAACCATAGAACAAATTTTCTGAACACCCGCAGACTTATTCAAATGTGATCCACCAAACAACAACATGGGCTAGTCAAGGTGACAAACTGACTTATTGGCAATGCCCTAATGTTAGGGATTTTTGATCAAGCACTTTGGAAACTCACACTGACCAACTCAGAAATATATACTTTGCTCATCAATGCATGGAACTTCAAAATCTTTAAAAATGGATTGGAATATTGGTCTGGGCTGTGCAAAGAAACTACTCACAAAAAAATAAGTCACCAGAACTTTAACTAATGGGCAGAGAATGAGACTGATTCACTTGAGCATCTCATATATAAGTTTAGAGACAAAGTTAAAGAATTTTAGGTGACCTAGTCTGAATCTTTCAAGTGAAGAAAACAGATTCATTGAGAGGTTAATTGAGGGATAGTCTAGGGCAGTGGTGGGCAACCTGCGGCTCCCAATAGCTGCAGTTCACCATTCCTGGCCAATGGGACCCGTGGGAAGTGGTGTGGGCCGCAGGGACATGCTGGTCGCAGCTCCCCACAGCTCCCATTGGCCAAGAACAGTGAACTGCAGCCACTGGGAGCTGCATGCGGCCATGCCTGTGGACAGTCAACGTAAACAAACTGTCTCACGGTCCGCCAGCAGATTACCCGGATAGGCCGCGTGTGGCCCACGAGCCACAGGTTGCCCTCCACTGGTTTAGGGCTCCTAGGTTCCACAGTATACAAATACATGTTAGGTTATCCTTTTACCTTCCAGGATTCTAGGGGCCTGAAAATTAGGTCTATTGCACACAAAAGACCATGTTAACAAACCAACAAGGTTGTAAAGTCAAGTGCTCGAAAGTGAGGAAATGCAAAATTAAGGTTGATAGTGCAACCTGAAATTTGGCTTCCTTCCATGTATGCCATGATGTGCATATTTTTCCCACAGGACCCCTGCCTCATTCATTGCACAGAATGGACAGTGCTCACTTAATGAGTAGCTATTCAATGTTTTGTTTTCTCCTCGTTCAGTGGATGGCCCTAGACATTATTTATTCTTCTTATGTAATGTCTCCATCACTGGAGTTGTGCAACCATGGCAGCCCATTCTGTATGATCCTCTGCCAATTTCTTTGTGGATTGATATACCCCACCCAGGATATCATATTGTACATCCAAGGTCTTTTTCTGCCTTGGGTTCTGCCATCAACCTGCCTTTCCAGTGCCTATAGACAAATCTCCCACTAAACCCCTTAAAATGTGCCCTACAAATCATATCTTTGTCACAAGATCCAGTGTTTGTTGAGTTCCAGTCATCCCAATACTTTTTCGTTGGTTTCACAGTCTATCCATAATATTTTTAGAACCCTTCTACATCACCATAATTTGAAGAATGATACTTCCTGTATTATCTATTGTTTCAGTGTTTGTGTTTCACAATCATGATTTACCATACATCAAATATAAGTTTTTAGGATCAGAATTTAGTCTTCAGATTTATGTCCCTTTTGCTCTCGCTATTCTGGTGCTGACTTCGATATCTGAACTTCCATCTTCTGTAATGACGCATCCTAAGCAGCAATAATTTCTCACCTGCTGTGCATGGTTCACTGGAATCTTACATGTTTTCCCAGGATCGTTGCACTTTGCCACAGCTTTTGTCTTGTCCACGTTCAACTCTACACCATATTCTTTGCCTCATCAGACCTTCTTCTGAATCAGCCAACAGCACATAGTGAATGTTATTCACTCATTTTCCATACACCTTAATACCTTCTTCTGTTTCTTCAATTAATTGAACACTCAGTATAAATGTTGAATAAAGCTGGTGACATTACACAATCTTGTCTCATTCCTCTTTTGAGGTCTAATAAAGATCCTCAAACACAGATTAATCAAGTAAACCAGCTAATAATAGATGAAGACGTCATGGCAGCAATAAAGAGACTTCCAAATAGAAAAGGACCAGGTTGCGATGGAATAACGGCTGAATTGTTAAACAGCATAGAGAATGAAGGCTTGAAAGCCCTGTCAGAGGTAATGAAGAGTATGTTTGAGACAGGTGAATTGCCAGAAGACTTTACAACCTCACTGTGTAGCCTAATACTCAAAAAGAACAATGCTAAGGATTATAAAGAATGTAGAATTATCAGCCTAATATCACTTGCCTCTAAGTTGCTTTTGCAAGCTGTTCAAGACCTAATGCAAGGGAAGACTAATAAGGAAATAAACAAAAAGAAAAAAAAATGGCTTCAAACGGAAAAGGCATGATAAACACCATTATGAACATGAAGCTAATATTAGAAAGATCAACCGTTTCTGTAGAAATGCATGCTGCTTTGATTGTTACATGTATGAGTTGTGCTTGGTTGTTACTGTAAGTTTTCTCTATATATACACAATGACACTGCAATACATATACACACACATGTAACATGAAAATGACCAATGTCAGAATGATACTTAATGAAGCTTTTATTCATCTCAGAAAATTCACTGAAATGCCACTTGTTCTAAGTAACATTATCTGGTTAGGTAGTACTGGGATTTTTTTTTACATCTAGCATAATTACTTGAAGAAAACAAGCCAGTTATGAAGTAGCTAGTATTGTGTTTATCTGTTTCTTCAACATACGGCTAAATAGGAAGTTGGCTAAACAACACTATATGTTGTGTTCAGAGTGAAAAGTCAATAGACTCTTGAGACACAGCCAAAGAGGCCTGGGAAAGAGTCTAAAAAGCCATTTGTACCCTATTAGAGATGTCCTTATTTGAACTTAATGGATATCATTAACACTACAGTAAGAATATTCAGTTGAGGCAACTTATTTTTAAGAAAAAAATACTTGTAACAAGAGTCAAGCCAAAAAAGGTTCAAGCCACAGCAAATGCTTCTGAGCACAGAGGTGTACTTGTGAAAAGGTTGGGTAGTTCTGAATCAGTACAGGCAACCTCCTTACAGCACAACACTAGAAACATGTTATTCTTTTGTAAGATTTGCCCCTCTACAAGAGAGGGGATGGGGAAGTCCATTTAAATAGTTTAAGTCAAGATTAATACACCACCAGCCTTGTATCCAGAGAACTTGCTTTTGACACACTACTCTGCAACCAATGCTGTCTTGTAATATAAACAATCCAGGTTACTGTATCACCAACAAATTTAGAAATAAAAATAGCATCCTTATTATCCATGTTTACAGACAAAACAAAATTTCACTACAGTTGTTTTAAAAAGTTTGTATCAGAAGTTCAACAGCAGAAGTGAAACTGTGACCAACAAGAACAACCTAAAATGTGAAGCCTACAAAGAATCGGAACAAAGGTTTTTGCTCAGAAATTCTCTAAGTAACATTGTATAAAACTCCTCATTCCTATTAAGTAGCAAAGTCTTGCAGATTTTAGTTCTAGACATGGACGGGTATGAAAAGGAAAGATGGTTTGAGGCTTCAATGAACATAGCTCAAACTTGAGCAAAAGAGCAAACCCTGCAGTCCTTACTCAGCCAGAACTCCCATTAGCTTAATGGGAAGGACTCAAACCAATCATTTCTTCCGCCTATCAAGCACATATGCTTGAAAGGCTATTTCTCATGGACAGTCCTAAACATCAAGTGTCTAACTCCATTGTGATGATGGGTGTGTGTGTGGAATTTATCCTAATTGCAAGTTCAACCGTAAAAAAGTGAAAGTTCTAAAATGCCACAATAGCCTATAACAACAAATGGTGATGGGAAAAGGTACGAAAGGGAGACAAGAAGACTGAATTAGTTCAAAAGGGCCTACTGATATAACTCAAGGACTGTGTTATCATGATGCCTGGGAAACCAGAGAAGTGTGGGACTGGAAATCAGTGAATCAAAATTCATGTGTCAGAAATTAGACCTAACTGGTGGACAAAATAATGAGGGGATGGACTATTCCGCCCATCATTCCCATTTGGGGTCCTCAAAAAGAGACCTGGGGGGGGGGGGGGGGGGGGAACTGGCTACTGCAACGATGGCTGACTGAAAGAAGGGGAAGGAATGACCTTCATTATCATTACTGCCACCCCCACCATCTCATAGGATCCCAGGATTCAGTGTGACAATATTGTGCCTTCGTCATCCTGATCCTAACACGTGTCCTGAGTCGACCAGGCCAAGAGAGGACCCAGCTGACCAGCTCCAGCTTTACTGGCTCCAGCTGAACCCCAACCACCACCCAGGATGTGAGGCTGTCACAATCCCTACACCCCCATGTGTGTTTTACTTCCCCACTTTAAGTTTAGCTCTTTCCCATTTCTCTTCATTTGCCCTCTGTTTAATAAGAGTCTGGCTAAGACAGTCAAGACTGCATATTTTGCAACACTGCTATACACCTGTGACCAGAAGGAGGCAGCTAAAAGCAATGCCCTAAACAGTACAATGTTGGTGCAAGTTTGTCAAGTCACCAAGTGGCTGATAAGACCATGTACTGTGCCAGTGTTTTTCCAGCAGTGACGCAGGAAATGAGAATCAACACCAGAGACAGAGGCAGAGGCTGCAATTTTTCATCTTTGCTGTTCTTTTCTCTCCCCTCTTGTGTGCATGTTTTATTTTGTCTTCCAGAAAATACTATAATGGCAGCAGCTCTAGCCCATCTCAACTACCTTCTTCTCTTTTCCCCAAAAATAACAGTTAACGCTATTTTTAATATTACCTAAAGGACTGTCAAAAAACGGGGGTTTCTTTCCAAAAACTCTTCTGCTAAAGGAAAAGGGAACAAGAGATGATGTTAAAATAAAAGCCTTACTTCAAATTTTATATTTCAAATATTTGAACAGTTTTTTTCATTATCTTCAATAAAAAATGTTTAAAAGGATGTTTAATGTTGTGTTTGCCATGATACTTAGCAGGCTGAGGTCACTGTATATTCAACCCCAAACCTTATTTTAAACTGTTTAATGTTGGACAGTGACAGGGTCATGCTAACACCTTTGACTCTTCGGTATCTACATTCCATCTAAATTAATACAACTCTGCCTTCCATTATGAGCGTACAACTCCCACTGAAGTCAAGAAGGGATGCAGAAAGCGAGGCTTGCACATGATAGAAAGGCAGAATATCTCAAAAGCTGTAGCAAAAATAAGTAAAAATGAAAATAATTTTTTTTTAATCGTTGAAGTTATTTGGAAATTCAGAGATCTTTCAGATTTTTTTCAATGTACTATGTGTCTGGAGATTCAGACTATATTTATCTATATATTCCAGCATATTACATGGAAGACTCCTTACCTCACTCCAGTAATTTAAGCAAAACGGAGAGGAAGAATTCAGCAACTGAGCTAAAATACTTCCCTTTTAATTGCTTGCTTAAAACTGATTTTTGTATTATTATAATCAGCTCCCTATATTTTATTACAAGTTTTCTCCAAGTTAACTTATATCTGCTGCCATCTAGAGGTCTGAAAGAACACTTGACACATACAGTCATTTAAAAGTGTGTATCAAACTTTTCATGACACTGACCTGAAGACAGACTATCCAAGCATCTCTTATGCATCAGTTTGTACCATTAAACGAAGGTATTATAAAAAGACAATTAACTAGAGCCTGACCAACTGAAATCATCAACACGACTTTCTGCAGCATTTGATCATCTTCCACCTCAGTAGTTTCCTGTGTTTCAAAGACACAAGCCAGCTGAACAGAATAAGATAGTTACCGGCTTTTGCAGACGTCCAGCAACATAGAGAGTTTTCCAGTGAAGCAGATCGTCAATCAGCGCATCAGTGCCAATTACGCCATATTTTATCATCTGAAAAAACAAAATAGAGGGTCTCACACAATTGTTTGTTACACACTGGCTGCATCAGGTAAAAAAGTCTGGTAAAAAAAAAAGTCATTAATTCACAGAAATGTAAATCTCTTAAGTAAAATATAAAAACACAAATATTAACGGTTTACTGGTTAGAGAACTAAATGAAAATATCACACTAACAGTTGCCAACCCCACAGGACTGTCCTGGAGTCTCCAGGAATTAAAGATTAACCTTTAATTAACTACTGTCATGTGATGAAACCTTCAGGAACACATTCAACCAGCATTGGCAACCGTTGTAGAACTCTACCTTGCAAGGCATCTAAAATGTATGAAGTTTTCTTTCCAGTGGATCCTAACCAAAACACAAAAAGATCTTTATTGACCCTCCAGACAATGCACTGAATGGGCATGGACATCACACTACACTCTCTCACTCAGATGGTCACTTCAAATCATGGTTCAGATATATTGCTCAATCATACTTAAAAACAGGTCATTTATTCTGTGATTCTGCAAATAACTCACTTGATTCTTTCATTACATGTATGTAGAGTACCTAGCACAATGAGGCCCTAGTCCCTGAAGGAGCTCTCTAGTTGCTACTGCAATGCAAATAAATGGATTATTACAAAGTGCCTTTTATTTCAGCAGTAATTCCTCTGATAATGATCAAAATCCTCTAATAAGAATTTGATCCAACTGATTTATTTTAAGTCTTGCATTTATGCTTTCACTTTTAGCCAGCTGCTTTTTCCTTAGGACAGTACTTAGAGAAGGAAAGACAGCCATGTGGTTACAACATAAGACAGGGAGTCAGGAAATGTGAGCTCCATGCCCACCTTCGTAATATGAGAATGATGTTCACTTCAAAGAAGGGGTCATAATTTACTAGTGTTTCTAAAGAACTCTGAGATTCTTCAATGGAAGCTGCTATTCAAGTAATAGCAGCAAGAAATAAAACCAATCAAGTCCTATTTATTGCTGTATGCACCTGTGTCAAGGTTCCTTCCCCACTCTGAACTCTAGGGCACAGATGTGGGGACCTGCATGAAAACCTCCTAAGCTTACTTTTACCAGCTTAGGTTAAAACTTCCCCAAGGTACAAACTATTTTACCCTTTGCCCTTAGACTTCCACTGCCACCACCAAACTTTATCTGGGTTCCTGAGAAAACATTGTTTGGAAACGTCTTTCCCCCCAAAATCCTCCCAACCCTTGCACCCCACTTCCTGGGGAAGGTTTGGTAAAAATCCTCACCAATTTGCATAGGTGACCACAGACCCAAACCCTTGGATCTTAGAACAATGAAAAAGCATTCAGTTTTCTTACAAGAAGACTCTTAATAGAAGTAAAAAAGAATCACCTCTGTAAAATCAGGATGGTAAATACCTTACAGGGTATTTAGATTCAAAACATAAAGAATCCCTCTAGGCAAAACCTTAAGTTACAAAAAAGTCACACAGACAGGAATATTCATTCTATTCAGCACAGCTATTTTCTCAGCCATTTAAAGAAATCATAATCTAACACATACCTAGCTAGATTACTTACTAAGTTCTAAGACTCCATTCCTGTTCTGTCCCCGGCAAAAGCATCACACAGACAGACACAGACTCTTTGTTTTTCTCCCTCCTCCCAGCTTTTGAAAGTATCTTGTCTCCTCATTGGTCATTTTGGTCAGGTGCCAGCGAGGTTACCTTTAGCTTCTTAACCCTTTACAGGTGAAAGGATTTTTCCTCTGGCCAGGAGGGATTTTAAAGGTGATTACCCTTCCCTTTATATTTATGACAACCTGCAATTTAGGGTTCCCATACACTGGTCCCGTGATTTATTTCGTTTTGAAGGATTCTACCAAATGCAAAGTATCCTCTATTGTTAAAATGGGTAACCCAGCTGAAAATGTCACTGTCACAAATCTACCAAATATTAAGTGAGGCTGTTACATATAAATACAGATATTTGTATATTCCAGAAGCAAAACACTTCATTAAAAAAAAAAAAACAATCATTAAGATTGCCAAGTGACAACACTGACATTTCAATACCTGCCACATTTATACAACCCAAGCAAGGAAATAAATGTTAAGATATATAGGCATTGTAAGCTTTACTATGACCAAGGTGTTCTTGACAGGCAATGGCACAACAAGGGACAGAGTCCCACTTCCCAACAAAGAGCACCTGGAAGGATGGTGATACACCAAGCCCAGGGGGATGATGCAAGCTGCACTGTTCATGCTAAACCTGCTGGATAGGAGATGTAGTGCAGGGAGGAAAACCTGCTTCCTTGCCACAACACTGAAGATGTGATTTTACCAGGCAGATAAAAGGATTCAAAGAAATATCAAACACCGGAAAACACGTGAAGAGAACAAATTTTGATACTGCTCTCTAAAGGCCCTTACTCATTTTAAACAAAGTTTTCAGTAAACATTTCAGTTGCAAGGACACCTAGAATGGTGAAAGCCTGATGATTTATCCTTTTCACAGTTAAAAGAGGAATTCAAAATGAGACTTCTAATGGGATTTGATGCTATCTTAACACAGCACAAACAGGCAGAACCAAGACTGGATATGCTGGTTCTTCAGATCAAGACTACAGGCCTCTGCTGCTTAAACTCATAGATTGGTTGGCTGCCAGCTAGAAATACCCCAATGTTCTTAACTACAAATAGTCAATAAAAAGCAACCCTCTCACACAGACATAAAATTTAGACTGGAAACAAAGTGCAAATTTTTAATAGTAAGGGTAAATGACCATTAGAACAATTTACCAAGGGTTGTGGTGAATTCTCCATCACTGGCCATTTTTAAATCAATAATGCATGTTTTTCTAAAAGACATGCTCTAACTCAAACAGGAATTAATTCAGGAAAGTCTTATGGCCTGATATATAGGAGGTCAGACTAGATTATGACAGTGGTCCCTTCTGGCTTTATAATCTAAGAATAAAAGCCTCTTGTTTACCCCCAGCAAATTTTATGAAGATTCACGTCAGTGCTAACCCCACTTCAATTGCTCTGATGGAAGTCTCACAGTGAGACTTTGGGGCCTCAGAGGTTTATGCCAACTTGACAGTTAAAGCGGCTTCTCCCATTGTAATATAAATAATGTTGGAATAAAAGAATAGGATGAAAAAGTTGCTATCTTCTAATATGCTGAATTACTTTGTTCAAGTTTTCAAAAGGTTTTAATCTATTTTATTTCTCAGTGCTTTGTATGTTTTCACACAGAAGCTAGATGATGCCTATCTAGCATAACCGACTACTACACATCCAAAAGTCACTATCATTCTTATTCTTCAATTCCTACACAACACAGTACTATAAGACCTCCTAAACACTTGCAGGCAGTAGAATGGCTTTTATAGAATGAGCTGCGGAAGGACCTCTGCTTAACTCTGAAAGTGCAAGAAGTGGATTCCAAGGCTCAAAGGAATTTACCATCATTCCAAGGTACCCGATACAGAAGTTCAGGGGAAGGGAAATGGATAAAAATAAGTAACATACCACTACTCAATTTTTATTAAGTTGGGCTCTGAACACTGAGCCTGGTACAATAATTTCAAAAGAAGGCTTAGGCTAAATGTCCCACAACTCATGAAGGGATGCAGTTTGATTTCTACCATCATCCATCAACATTAAACCTCTTCAGCAAATTAGCGATGACATATACACTGAGAAGGGAGGGAGCGGAAGGCCCCTTCATGAGAGCAGATAATCCCACTGAAAAAGAACACATTAGTGGATAGCACAAAGAGTGAGCAATATACAGGAAGACAGAAGAGATAACATGGAGCCCCTTACTTTTTCAAAGCATTGTCGAATATTAACCAATTAATTGGCACAACATCCTTGTGACTGTCCCCATTTTACAGATAGGGAAACTGAGGTACAGGGATCAGTGACTTACTGAAGGTTACCATCCCCTGCAGGTTGGGGGAGCAGAGGAAGCAAGCAAGAAGGTTAGATGAAAATAAGTTGTGACAGGACTGGACTGTGTACCAGAGAAACTTTATATTCAAACTATTCAATTCACACTCTCCCCAGGGAACCTACTGGTAGCAGCATTACCTAGAATGGGAAAATCCATTAGAACTCTAAAGGCAAACAGAAATTGGCTGAAGTCCTTTTCTCCAGAAATCAGCAATCCTTTCTAGACCAAGTGGATTGAGAAGATAGACAATATGCTGTTAACATGTCCTTTCTAGAATCAAAATTAAAACAAATTAACTCTAGGATCAATAACACTGAAGCAAAACTAAATTATATATATATTCAAAATAAACCTAGTCCAGATGGACTTGACCCTTAAGAAAACTGAGTGATAAATTACAGAATAGTCAACTATAAAAATTAGTGCCAATAAAATTGTGATTCAAATGGCCGCACAACAATTATGTCAATACTTAATTCTCTTGTAGCTATATTGTTTTGTTGATGACGGCTATATTCTTGTGACATGGCAATATTCTGATCCCAATAGCTTTTCAAGTTTTTTAAGTAACTAGAACAGTTTCAAATTTCAATGTACTCTAAGTTCAAAAGCTATGTTCATAAAAACTCTATCAACAGATAAAACAGTACTGATCTTAGTACTAAGTGATTAGAAGAGTTATACACTTAATTGGTAACATTTTGTACAAAGTGGCAAATCATTATGAAAACCTCTTGATATTCGACAGTGACATTAATGATGATGAACTCTTTCAGTACTAATGTAAATGTAATGAGCAGTTACAATGGAATTTCATAGTAGTCAGTGTTAATCAATGACTACTTACCGTGAAGTAACATCACAAAATAAAGCCTTCACAGCAAAAAAGATTATACACCAAGATTTAAAGTATTTAATTAAAAACTCTACCACCCAATTCTGCATGAATTGAGTTCATGCAATCCTAATCTACCAGAGAAGGTAATTCCAGCTGCTTCTCATAACAGTTTTTTCAAATTCAATTATTGCTTGAGTATTGTAATTCTACTGTACGTGGTCTGTATTTTATGTAAGGGTATCTTGCATATATGTTTTAAAGAGCTAACACAATACAATGCAGATTAATTTTATAATTCTCCTGCATTGCCCCATTAATCCTAGAAAACCATGATGAAGAATTAAGCTGACATTTTGGTCAGTGTCTTTTTTTAATTATATGGCATTATTTAATGGAAAAGCTCTATAGAGGTTAATAGAGAAAGGGTGAAATCCATAGGGTTCCAAAGAAACTACACTACAAACCTAAAGAATTTAACAGGAAATTGTGACAGGATCCCTACCTCTGCATGATTTGTTTAAGGATTTAATAGAATGGTTATTATTTTCTACTAAGTGCCATAAGTTTTGAAAAAAATTGACCAGTGCATACACTCGATGGTATGATAGTTGGGATAGATCAGAGTGCATGGTAGGATGTCACAGCAGAACAGGAGCTATGTTCTGCAACTTTGGGAGGCTTAAAACAGAACAATAAAATGTTAAATTTAGGACCAAGTTATGTGCAGAATAATCCCTACCAATTTTTGCTATTTGGGGTAGTCAGTATATAATTCTATCAGAGTTGCAGGTCAATTTCAATAGTTAGAAGGATTCACTCCGAAGAGTTTGTTTCCTGTCAATCATAAGTTAAAGTAAAGCAGCCTAAATAATGTAACATAGACAGCATATTTCTGTACATCCCAGGATTCCAATGATTACTAACAGTGTCAAAGTAACTCCAGAACCATTCTTAACAGACCATGCATGAACATAATGGAGACTATCCAAAAGCTGTCATCACCACACAAGGGTGTAGGTGTGAAGGGAAAAGCAAGAGTGATGGATAGGAGTAATAACAGAAGTCTTTATAGCAAAGATGCTGCTCCTGCTCCCCTCAAAGTCAAGTTAAAAAAGCTTTACTTCAAGAGGACCAGGATTGGACCCACAATTCATACCTCCTCCAAGTGCCTTACACACATGAAATACATTAGAGGGCCTCTCTCTCTCTACCTCCAAATCAGTGAGATGGGTTTTTTGGTGAATGTCTAGTCCAGGGGTGGCCAGCCTGTGGCTCCAGAGCTCTTCAGAAGTTAATATGCGGCACCTTGTATAGGCACCGACTCTGGGGCTGGAGCTACAGATGCCAGCTTTCCAATGTGCCAGGAGGTGCTCACTGCTCAACCCCTGGCTCTGTCATAGGCCCTGCCACCACTCCACCCCTTCCCACCCTCTCCCCTCAGCCTGCAGTGCCCTCGCTCCTCCCTGCACCCACGAGCCTCCTGCACACCACAAAACAGCTTTTCAGGGAGGGAGGGGGAGGTGCTGATCTGCAGGGCTGCGGGTAGGTGGGAGACACTGGGAGCGGGGGATGGAGCTGATGGGGGGATGCTGATGTATTACTGTGGCTCTTTGGCAATGTACACTGAAATTCTGGCTCCTTCTCAAGCTCAGGTTGGCCACCCCTGGTCTAGTCACTTATCCCATGCTCACCCTGGTACCGCAAGCCTGAAATTCCTTAGCAAAGTCACAGTTGGCTGCAAATGTAGTTTTTCCTATGTCCTTCATTCCACTTCCTGCTTTTGGTGAAGAGATGGAATTTGATTTTCTTGTCGTTACCACAAGTTGAGAACAATTTGAAACAGCACTGAGGAGGTGGAAAGTCACAAACACACACACATCAACACTACTTGTTTGGACACAGATGTTGGAGTATGACTAGATAGAATAAATATTACTCCCTGTGTTAAAATGACAGGGAATCAGAGGTTAAATAAGACAGATGTCAATTATGTTATGTTATATTTGCGTGGACATCAAAATACAAATAATCCACTCTGCTCTGTGAATTGGCCAATCTCTGAATCTAGATCTCAGTTTTCCCATTTGTAAAATGGTGACAATACTTGCCTCCTTACCACATTGAAGGCTGTAATGTGTTTAGAATTATCGCTGAGAAAAAGAATACAAGTTCAGCTATTATTGTGAACGTGCTTTACTTTAACTGCTGAGTCTAATTGTTGCTTTTATTGAGCACAATGTTGTCTCCTGTTTTCTTTTTCAGGATTTAACACATTACTCTGTAAAACAGCTTGAGACACTGAATATTAAAGATGCTATGTAGAACTGAAGCTTTTATTTAAGTGCTTAAGTATCAGTCAAGGATCAGCTAGTATCTGTAACATAAATGCAAACTGCAATTTTTATTTCCTGAACAGAGGCTACCCTAGGCTAGTCATTCCAATATTCTAAATGTAAACATTTGATCTATAGAAATTAGTCACAACCTATTGTACTTACCCTACCATTACATCGCACTAAAGTATTGTAGTAAATCCCTGCTCCACAGCTCTGTATATTACTGATTTGCTTTGGCCCAAAAAGTTTTAGGAAAGAATAATGACTCCTATTCTTTAGCAGGTTCATCATATGCCAAGTGACAGAATCATCCACAGCAAACACGAAGTCCAGCATATTGTGCTACAAGGTAAATAGAAAAAAAGATACTGTTACATATAGTTTAGGAAACAAGCTATATCCACTCTAAGATTCTACTGATCTTCACATAATGCCCAGCGATGATAATAGCAGACAGCAACACACAGCCAGAACATAACCAACCCATAACTTGCTTAAAGAAAAAAAAATCAGTTAAGTCATGTCCAACACATTTCTATATAAGACAAATCTTTGCATGAGAATCTAACCTAATTTTTTTTCCTTTGGAGTTCTCAATGCTTGGAAAATTACACACAAACTCCAACTCTCAGTAGACTTTTTTTTTTTTTTTTAAATTCAAACTTTACCTGCAATCAGTTGTTTCTGACAACAAAAGATTTGTGATGAAATAACAGTTTGAAAGGAACTCCAAACCCAGGAGACTTGTTACCTAAACACAACATAGACTAGCTAGTTAAGAACAGTTTTAGTTATTATACAACTAGTTATTATATGTAACATTTTGAGATATGCTGAAAGTTCTTGAGGAATGACTCTCTACATGCCTTGCCATTTCTGGACCGGTCTGAGTTGCTCAGTGAATCAGTGATCGAACAGAGTTGGTACAAAGTTGAACAGACTTGTTAAATCTTCCAAGTTATTCGCTCTTCCTCCCTTCTTCATGTTTGTGGGGAACAATATTAAAAATGTAAAATTCTTATTTTTCTTCCTTTGCATCTTGTGGGGAGGAGCAAGAAGAAGGAGACTTGATTTAGTTTGCTTGGAAAATAAAACCCAGTGAAAAGGCAAACTATGCCCATGCACAAAATCATGGAGTTTGGCCAATTTAAAAGAAAATAAAAGCTTTTGGCAGTCAGAGATTTAAGGTCGCTCCGAGCATGGGACTGTGTGCCTGACCATGTTCACTAACGCACTGAACGTCTTATCTTCTATGAATTTATCTATTTTTTTAAAACAGAGTTATACTTTTGGCCATCACAACATCCCCATGGCAATGAGTTCCACAGGTTAGTTGCCCACTATGTAAAAAAGTACTTCCGTTTGTTTGTATTAAACCTGCGGCCTATTAATTTCATTGTGTGACCCGTGATTTTTGTATTGTAGGGAAAGGGTAAATAACACTTCTCGATTCACTTTTTCCACACTTTTCAGCTCGGAAAAAGAGAGGACTAAGGGAACTGCCTCTCTGGGTGCATTCCAGGGATATTAATCTGTTAAGGGCAATGCCCCTGCCTGGTCCCCCAGAATGCACTGGGGGGGAGGTGATAACAACCCGTGGCCGGGAATGCCCCCCCCTCCCGGTGCACTGGGGGGTGATAACCCGTAACCGGGCAATGCCTCCCTCCCTCCCCAGTGCACGGCGGGGCGGGAGGGGGTGATAACCAGTAACCAGGGAAATGCTCTGCCCGGCCCCCAGCTGCACAGTCCCGCTTACCACGCTCTGGCTGGGGGCGGTCCCCGCCTGCCGGAAGACCCCGGACCCATAGGCGAAAGCCAGGCTGAGCTCCTGGGGGAAGTGAGCCAGGATCCTCCGGAACTGCACCCCCGAGCCGGGCAGCGCTGGGAGCGCCATGAGCGCGGGGCCCGGCAGCAACTGGCGCCTGCGCCCTGCGTGCGGCGGCGGCTGGGCGGAGCGCGGCGCGAGCCCGGCCCGTGCCCCGGCTTCGCCGCCAGCAGCTGACAGGAGACGACGGCGCGAAGGAGCGAGAGGGGCCGGCGCCCCTTGGGGAGGCCAGCCAGGCCCACAGCGCCCCAGCTACGGCCTGGGTCGCAGGAGCCGGTGGCGCCCGGACCGCTGTGGTGCGTTTTTCCCTTCGGCCCATAACCCAGTGTCCCTGCTGTCCCAAACGGTAGCAGGACACTCGCAGTCCCTGCACTCCCCGCCCCGACCCCTGCACATGCACACCTAGTATCCCGGTCCCGGCTGCACCCCCTATCCACGTCCTCTGCGGTTCCCATGCCCCTGCACTCCCAATTCCCCACCCACAGGCCCTACACCTTTCGTACACCCAGGGCTCCTGCACATCCAGATTTCCTGAGGTTCCCCTTTACCCACCCCCGGGCTCCTTAACTCCAGATTTCTACTGGTTTTTATACTGTGCAAAGAAAGTAACAGAACACCACTAGCCATCACCTTCAACCCCCAACTAAAACCTCTCCAGCGCATCATCAAGGATCTACAACCTATTCTGAAGGACGACCCATCACTCTCACAGATCTTGGGAGACAGGCCAGTCCTTGCTTACAGACAGCCCCCGAGCCTGAAGCAAATACTCACCAGCAACCACACAACAAAAACACTAACCGAGGAACCTATCCTTGCAACAAAGCCGGTTGCCAACTCTGTCCACATATCTATTCAAGGGACACCCTCATAGGGCCTGATCACATCAGCCACGCTATCAAAGGCTCGTTCACCTGCCCATCTACCAATGTGATATATGCCATCATGTGCCAGCAATGCCCTTCTGCCATGTACATTGGCCAAACTGGACAATCGCTATGCAAGAGAATAAATGGACACAAATCAGATGTCAAGAGTTATAACATTCAAAAACCACTCGGAGAACACTTCAACCTCCCTGGTCACTCAATTTCAGAACTAAAAGTCGCAATTCTTCAACAAAAAAACTTCAAAAACAGACTCCAACGAGAGACTGCTGAATTGGAATTAATTTGCAAACTGGACACCATTAAATTAGGCTTGAATAAAGATTGGGAGTGGATGGGTCATTACACAAAGTAAAAACTATTTCCCCATGCTAATTTTCCCCCCTACTGTTACTCACACCTGCTTGTCAACTGTTGGAAATGGGCCATCCTGATTATCACTACAAAATTTTTTTTTCTCCCACTGATAATAGCCCACCTTATTTGATCAGTCTCATTACAGTTGGTATGGCAACACCCATTTTTTCATGTTCTCTGTGTATATATATCTTCCTACTGTATTTTCCACTGCATGCATCTGATGAAGTGGGTTTTAGCCCATGAAAGTTGATGCCCAAATAAATGTGTTCGTCTGTAAGGTGCCACAAGTACTCCTCGTTTTTATACTGTGCAAGTTCTTATTGCATAATCACCCATCACCGTGGTCCAGTGTCCCATCCCATCCAAGTGGTCCAAAGGCAGGGTGGTGAGTTATATGAGCATGTGGTGCCCGTACTCCAGGAATATTCCGGGCACAGGGGCCCAGCTCCACCAATGTTCGGGGCCTGGTCTCTCCCCTGCCCCTGCGTGCCTCCCCTGGAGTGTCTCCTGCCCTGGCCTGCCACCCCTGGGTGATGTAAAAGGACCCTGGGGCCCCCAGCCGCCGCCACCAGCAGCACAGCAGGGCTAAGTCGGCTTCCTGCCTGCCCTCGCTCCGCATCACTCCTGGAAGTGACCGGCACATCCCTGCAGCCCCAGGGTGGTGGTCTCCGCGCGGTGCTCCTGCCCTGAGCACTGACTCTCCAGCTCTCATTGGCCGGGAACTTCGGCCATTGGGAGCTGTGGGGACGGTGCCTGCAGGCAGCAGTGCATGGAGGTGTCCCAGTCCCCCCGCCTAGGAGCCGCTGCCAGAGGGGGTGTGGGTCGCTTCTGGGAGCCACCCAAGGTAAGCACTGCACCCCTCACCCTCTCCTGCAGCCCAACCCTCTGCCCCAGCCCAGAGCCCACATTCCTCACCCCTCCCGCATTCCAAACTCCCTTGCAGAGCCTGCACCCTGCACCCTCTCCTACACCCCAACCCCCTGCCCCAGCCCTGAGCCAGCACCCAAACTCCCTCCCACTGGCCGCACCGCTCCCACACCCAAACTCCCTCCCAGAGCCTTAGGCAGGTGTGCGTGGTGGGGAGGCAGGACTTGGACCCATTCTGGACACCACCAAAAATTATACAAACCTGCCGCCCCTGGTCAAGGCTGGTGCGTGCTCCCTATGGTCTTGTGTCTGCTCTAGGCAAGCGAAAGACAGCAGTGTTAATGCCAAATGAGTCCACATGAGTCTGGTCCACAGCTGCTTCCTCTCCACCAGCCACAGGACCAGAACTGATAAAGAAGGCTTGTGGGTCAATATCTTCCCACCCATAGGTCCAGCATCCCACTCCCAGTAAGTTCTGAAAGGTATCCCTGGTTCAATATTTCTCACCCCACCAGACCAAAGCAGACTAAATGACACTCCCTTGCAGAATCCCGTTTCAGTGGCCAATGCAAAATCCTCCAGACAGAGATACAAACCCTTGTAATTACCTACAAGTTCCCTATGGACGTGATCAGTTAGTTTACAACATTTCTAATTTTTCAGTCCACAGAGCATTCATTTTTTCCTTATGTCACTTATTCAGCTTTAGTTTCATCTTTTGCTGTGGTTTCTTCTCTCTCTTTTCTTCTTCAGTCTCTTTCCTTCTCTCCTGTTTTCATAGTACATCTTGTTTGCTTTTAGAGGCTTCTCAAGAACTTTGGCAGTCCTATTTCTTTTCCCAAATTGAAAAGAGTGTAATTGTCACTTCACTTTCCTTCACTCAGTTGTTTTGTCTCACGCTTTCTTAGGTGATATCATCTTTTACTGAACCTTTCTTAGTTTTAATTATTAAGGCCCTGATCCTGCAAACACCAATTTGAATTCTGAACAACTATTCCCATGTGTAAAATTAAGCACATGCTTAAGTACTTGCAGGATTGTGACCTAATTTGTTTTTTGTCAATGTTATGCTTTCCCGTTTCTGACTTTTTAACTTTTAATTTTATCTTTTCTGTCTATCAGAATATTCTCTTTACATATTGTAATTGGGACTATTGAGAAAACTATGACATATGACATCTGATCACGGAAGCCTCATCTTGCACTTAACTGGAAACAAGAGATTAAGTCTCATTGATTTCAAAGGGACCATATGCATGTTTAAAAGGTAAACGTATGCATAAGTATTTGCAGGATCAAGGCCTTTATACTTTATTGCAGTAAATAAGTTTCTGATATACACAGTGAAGTCAGGGCCTATGCAATTACGTTAATCTGCAATATTAGATGTACAAAATGCTGTGTGATTAACTAGTCCACATTTCATGTGAAACTCTGGCCACACAGACCATGTCAACAAACAGGCTGATCCAACGCCCATTAAAGTCTTTCCATTTATTTAATGGGCTGTGAATCAGACCCTGTGGACATAATCTTTTTACTCACTAAAAATTTCCCATGTATTATTTGTTAAGCACTCATGATATACTCAGTGCTATACAGGACATAAATAAAAATAGCCTCCACTTGAGTTTATAAACAATGGGTTTTAATCCTGCTTCCATTTAAGGTATTGAGAGATATGCCATTAATTAGAGAGCAGAATCAGGGCCTAAAACACATGAGTAAGGTCTTACCAAATTCACGGCCATGAAAAACGTGTCACGGACCATGAAATCTGATCTTTTGTGTGCTTTTACCCTATACTATACAGATTTCATGGGGGAGACGTTTCTCAAATTGAGGGTCCTGACCCAAAACGAAGTCACAGGGGAGTCACAAGCTTATTTTAGGGGGGTTGCAGTATTGCCACCCTTATTTCTGCGCTGACTTAAGAACTGGGTGGCCAGAGAGTGATATAAGTATGATGCTCGGGGGGCCCTGCAGGGGATCTAGAGTCAACGTAGGTTTAGGAAGGACTGGGGAAGATGCTTTCCTTACCAGCTAGGGAGAAGACCTGGCTGGAGTTACCTGAAGCGAGGGACATAAACAAAACTCTTAAGAAGGGGTGTCATGGGACTGCTGAGCTAATGAGGATGCAGTGAATTGGTGATCATGTAGAAGAACATAATTTCTAGCTTTGAAATAGATAAGGTGTGTGAAGTAATATATTTTATTGGTAATGTCTTTTATTCTGTTGTCGGAAGAGACAAGTCTTTGAGATTCACAGAGCTCTCTTTCTGGTCTGGGAAAAGTAACCATAGTGTTACTTTTAATGCAAGGTGGAATGGATTGTTAAGCATAAGGGGTTAACACATTTTGCAAGAGACCACATAAAGTGTAGTAGGCTATTAACACCTCTGCTGTCATAGGACAAAGGACGGTTAGTAAGTTATGAATTGTTGTAATGAGCCATTAAACCACTGTCTCTGTGGAGACCATGATTTTTGGTGTCTAACAGAGTTATGAATTTAAGCTCCCAAGCTCATTTTTTGAAGGTGTTGTTTAGGTTTCCTTTGAGGATAAGAACTGATAGGTCAGATATAGAGTAATTACTTTGTAAAGTGTTTGTCCATGGGTGATAGGGTGTTTTTGTCTTCTATCCTTTTTCTGTGTGAGTTCATTCAAGAACACAGTGATTGTCTAGTTTCACCCACATAGTTCTTGTTGATTCACTGGATGAGATACATCACAGGTTGTGATAGGCATGTGTAGGACCCAGGGATCCTGAAAGGCGTGTTGTGGGGGGTGTTTGTTCATTGTAGTAGCAGTGGAAAGATGTCTAGGTTTTGCATTTGTTGTTTCGGCCAGGTCTGGTGCTGCTTTGAGCTGGTGTGGCGTCGACTCTGGGTAGTTTGCTTCTGA